ACCCACCCACCACCCCCCGGTTTGGTTTTGTTTTGCCAATTCTTGGTAGTTTCTATTTTTTTAAACGTTTTTTTTTTTTTGGTACCAAGGATTGAACTCAGGACCTTGTGCTCGTGAGGCAGGCGGCGGAACCACTGAGCTAAATCTCTGGCCCAGCAGTACACATTTTTAAGCTCTCCTATTAAAGTCCCCCACCCGAACTCCACCAATCTCACCCCAACCAACCACATGTACTCATACTCAAAGACTAGTTTTTCCTTCATGTTTTCTCTGGAAAACTCCAATATTTACAAGTCATCATACTTATAAAAGTCCATAAATAATTATAGACTCTTTTCTGTATCTTGTGATTTCGTTTTCCCTAACTAGCCATGAAATTCTTGCAATTCTGCCCTCTAATTGTCTTACACCTTTATTTCTCCATTCTTACTACTACATCCTCAGATTCTGAGGTCATGAGCTTCTCTTATTCAGGCACTCATCATCTCTGGCATGTCCTCATAAATGATCTCAGTGCAAGCTATTCTTTCAGTGAAACAAGCTTATTTTCCCTTTCCCCTTCCTTGTTTCTTCTTTCTCATTGTCTTGCTTGTGAACATGCATCCAATCTTTGTCAAATTAAGTATCTCTAAGTTCTTCTGCAGTCCTCATTTTTCATGCTTGCTTTTCTGTGGTATAAAGAGTGTGCCTGTTAATTGTCTCAAATAAACTTATGCTAAAGTCATACATGGGAAATCTGTATGCTCTGGATGAACCAGCTTGATTTTCATCTACTTAGTAAATATCAGTGAGTCTCGTATTATGATTCCCACATAAGCAACATAGGCACTTGGGAAAATGACGGAGATGCAGATTCTCAAGCCACACAATAAATTACTTCATCAGAAACTATGGAGGTTTGTGCTTTAACTAAACCCTGAAGTTTTTCTGATGCAAGCTAGGTTTGAGAAAAATAGATAACACTTTCTCATTGTGCACATCAGCAACTTTAAAAATCTTTAATTGTTGCTCTTACCATGTTATTCTACTTTTTATTATTCCAGCTTAATGGCAAAGATGGTCCCAATCAAAGACTGCATAGGATTGTTCTTCATAAGATTCACTCAATATTGTATTCGAATCCTTCAACAGTTTGACAATGGCTACAACACCTTGGATTCATTCACTTCACTTGACCTGCAGAGAATGGCTGATCTATCATTTCATGGAAGTGTTAATTATGGTAATCTTTGGGTAGTGATAAGGTTCGGGAACCTGCTTTACTAGTTTTAAAATACTTTCAAAGTGATTATTTTGTTTAGTTCTCACAATATGGGGGGGGTGAACAAAGCAAAAATGGGAAATGGGGAACCATCAACCAAATGCATAAGCAAAGCAGATCTACAATTATAGATATGTTCTGTAATAAGCTCAATCACTTAAAAAAAAAGAAAAGATAAATTTAAGAAAAAACAGACCTCTCATTCAATGTGTTGGTACTTTAGAGCTGCCTCACATTGCTGAAAGGATGTCATAGTAACAGAAGTGATTTACTTCCTTCCTAAGGGCTTCATTTCAACTCGTAAATGTTATTATATATCTCTAGTATGATGGAAATTACACAATGTAGCTTGAATCTATTGAGGTTGCTTACAGAGAATTAGTTCACTTCAATAACTCAGGTAATTGTTACCTCTGTCGAATAGTGATGTACAAAGTGAATACAGTCTCAATGGAGGCCCCATGATTTGATGACAATGAAATTGTCAAGCTGAGCAGGTCATTCACTAGTTTCCTAAATTTGTTCTTAATTGACACATAACAGGACTATTGGGTCTATTTTATTCTTAACGAACTGATATGTGTGCACCAGAGTCAGGGCTTCAAACAGTAATCCTGCTATGGGACATCTCGGGTGTGAATTTCCGTCCTCCAACTTTGGGCCTGGTTAATGCCAGGGGAAAGAAGATGTCATTTGCTTTCCCGCAGCAAATGACACATTATGTCCAAGAGGCTGTGTTGTTTCTTTTACTATAGCTACTTAACTCTGCTTCATATATCATTTGCATGTAGCTACTTTGTAGAGGAAGAAGTAACCTAGTTTAAGATAACATGCATAGCATTTTATTGAACTTTTTAGTAAGCATTACTCTTGACCGCTTAGGTTTCAGTTGCTCCTCAAGGAAGATTCTTGGTGACTGTGGAGTTTTCAGGGTTCTTACTTTGGTGGCCTGAATGGCACTGTCATGGAGCTGATTGTGTATCCTTCATATAATCCCTTTGAGAAATGTTCTGTCCCTGATGAGCTAAAGACAAATCTTGGAGTCTGGTCCAACTGCCTTGGATGATACCTCTGGGGAAATCCTGTGCTTATGTGTACCTACTCCTACCATTTTTATAGCCCTAATTAAACAAGACTGAGGTAGTGTAAGAGGTATCCAATAGGAACCAGGAAATTAGAAGCCGAAATGTTGCTTTAAGACAGAGGTTCAGTTTACCATGATTGTTGAGGAACCTTAACAGACAACCAATAGTTCAAAATTTTTTTAAGTTTGAGATGAAATCACACCAAGTTTCCACACTGGCAAACACAGGGTCTATCCAGGTGGACAGGGAGTTGATTTTGCTCACCACAATATAACCATGTCCTTTCCAATACAAGATTTCTTGAAGTCCTTTTCTGACATCAAATATAAGGTATGGAGGAGCAGCTCAACTTCTGTTGAGCACCAACCATTAGGAAGGCAATCTAGAATGCTGTGGGGTAATTTCACAAAGATTGGGTCACATGGCTTTCTGAACTTAAGTTGCTGCAGAATAAATCTCGCATTCAACCTGTCCACTACTTGCGGTTGATTTCCCTCATATAAATAATCGGTGGCCTTGGTTCAACAGGCATGTCCTATTTTAGAGTTGTAACTTGGCCTTAAAAGAAGATGTATATTAGAGGCTACTTTTCTCCCTAACATGTGAATGAGAATCTCTTGAATTCATGCCTAGGGACAGTCCACTGTAAGAAGGGCAGTGAGATTGCTGGGCTTATCACTCCATTAATTTTTCCTCGCTCTGACTATGGGATTCCCAGGCCGGTCCTAAATATGATTTTGGGCAGAAATAATCCCAAAGCAAATACATACATGTTTTAAATGTGCTTGAATAAGGAGAGATGTGCCTTTCTGGCAAGGCAGAGCAAGCTCCCCCAAATCTCAGTCACTATACATTGACTACCTTTAGTGTCTGCTGAAGCTACCTGTCTTGGGTAGAACTTTTCCTCCATTGCTCAGTGCTGAGATCTCTAACTGTACCTATTTCTCAGGGCCTGTACCTATTTTGCAGCCACATTGGGGAAAAAAAGTAAGGCCAATGAGGGAATACACAGACAAATAGACACCAAGGGCAGACTTGTGCCCGGGACATTGTAGAGCTATTCAGGTTCTTGCCCTGTTTGCATTCCCTCTGTGTATATTTCTATCCCTTTACAACTATGTCTGCTTTGTACCATAGATACTGGTAGCAGTCTGGGAAAATTCAAGAACAAAACATATCAAAAAGGAGGAATGTCCAGAACAGTTCTTGGAATATTAAGTGTGCTGCTTTGCCCACTGCTTCCTGTTGGAGATTGAAGCACCCATGCACTTTGAAGCACATTTGTGTTTCAGAAACACATTCTGGTGTCCTAAATACGCAATAATTTCAGATATTTCCTATAAGGAAGTCACAGTACCTATCTAATAAGAAAATATCCTGTTCCCCATTGATGCATACACTGGTCGGATGACTTTGGATGTGGTGTCTACTGAGTCTGCACATATTTGGAAGGATTATTCCTCTGGTGCACACTGGAAATGGCTTCTGGGGCATTGTGCTCTAACTTCTTTTTTTCTTTCCTCGTACCAGGAATTGAACCCTGGTCCTTGAGCTTGCTGGATAGGTGGTGAAACCGCTGAGCTAAATCTCTGGCCCATGCTAACTTCTACAAATGGGCTTGGTAGTTATTTTCCAAACATGGATGTGAAAAAAAAGGGGAGGTCCACTAGGGAAGACGAAGATAGATGATGTGCAAGTCTCCGTGTGCAGGACAGTGTCAACCTCATCAGGTTTCTTGCCCTGCTTAATGCCCTCTCTCGGGTGTCTGGATTCCATGGCCACTGAGCCTCACTTGTACCCTGCAGGTGGGTACCAGTCCGCCGGGAAGCCACGTGAGGACACGCTGTTGAACAGGAGGCCTGGCCTGCACAGGTTTTCCTCCTGTACCCGGGCATGTGGCCTCCACCCCCCCACCCCACCCCCCGCTTTCCCTATGAGGTTGCCCCTTGCAGCTTCAGAAACGCCCTCCGGTTGCGCATTTGACTGGGTCCCCAGGGAAGCTCTAAAGGACCTGTGCTCCCCCCATTCACTTCTTGTTATATTGGGGAGGGTGGTGAACACCTCACTGGGCGCTAGGACAATAGGGCACACTGGAAGGTGTCCACCGGGATGCATCCGCTCACTTTTGTTGTCAGGGAGCTGACCCGTGTGTACCTTGTACAGGGCAGCGTGTGCGATTCAGTTGAGGTACTTCTGGGGTGTGAGGGCACCACATCCCACCTTGCCCGGGGTCATGCCCAGGTGATGGAAGGTGCTCTTCCTCGTGGGTCGGAGGAGGAAGATGAGGTGCCTGGGGCCTTCTCTGTTTGTTCAGGGCAGCTGCTGAGCCTCCTGCCTGTGCCTTATGCGTGGAGCCAGTTTCTAGGTGACAGATGAGTCTCGCACGTTGCAGACAACGTGAACAGCGTGTCATGGTGAGCTCTCGGCCATCATCCCTTCTCTGGCCAGACACGTCTCAGTTGCAGTCCATCAAGGCAGCGGCTTGGTGACACCGCACGGGCGCCTTCCTTGTCCCCTCTGCGTCGCGGGGAAGCGCATTGTCACCTGTAGTATTCCCACAGTTCCTCCCTTTGAGAAATGTTGTGCCCTTCACGGGATCAACGCATCCCTGGAGCCGGGCCCGCCGCCTCCCTCTGCGCACAGCTACGGTGAAACTCTGTGCTTAGGTCTGGCCACTCACAGAAGTTCTCTGAGTCCTAGTCCCGCTGGGCTCGGCACAGGAAGCAGTTTCCTCTTGCAGCGGGGGAGAGGAATGGGGGCCTGGAATGTTGCTGCTTTCCGAGAAGCACATAGGCGTTTCCTTGGTGGTTGTGACCCACCTCGAGGACTGGCCAACCAGTTCTTGACCGCAGTGGGGACATCTGTAAGCGGACTGGTGCCAACCTGCGTGTTTTCTTGGAAATCGGGTCTTCTCTACTTGGCCAGGGCATTGTTGTCCTGGGGAAAGGTTATTCAGATTTTCCCCTTCCTTCCTTGTGCGATGTGGGGATTGTCCTCCAGAAGTCACCTCTAAGGGACAGAGGGAAGAGGGGCTCCTCTTCTGTGGAGCGCCAGGGATCGGAAAGGCCCGCTGGAATGTTGTGGGGTTCTCTTCCAGGAATTGGCTCACTTGGGGTTTGTCGCTGTGGCACTGGTGAGGAAACCAGTGCCCAGTCAGCCTGCCCAGGAATTCCACTGTTTTCCGGTGGAGAAGTCGTGCAGTGTTCCGATGTTGAAGATTTTCCCCTTCCTTCTTTTTGTAATGCAACTGCAAGGTCTTGAATTTGATCCCCGATAAAAAAAAAATATACAGTCACCATTTTTGTGAACAGGGAAATCTTGATCTATCTGTTCAGATTCTTGCACTGTTTCTCTGTCTTGTCTGCGTAGTTGTAACCCTTTCCCATTAAGTCCTTTTTGTACCCTGGATTCTTCTACGATTTTGTGCCAATTTTATAAGTGTAAATGATATTGAAAGAATGTGCGTCTTGAACAAATTCTTCTCTAATTTCAGCACAGTAATTTGCCTATTCTTTTCTGTTGGAGTTTGTCCCTGGAATGCCCTTTGGTGCCCATTTCTACTTCAGATATCCCTTCTCATATAGTACTTGCCTTTTATCTTGGGACACCTGTAATGTATTGAGTAATGGTTATGGTCATCACATTCAGTTGTCCTATACTATGTTGCATGTAAAACTCCATGCAGTGCAATTAATTGCATTGTTCTTTGAATGCTATGGATCAAATAAATTGGATTTGTTTTTTGCTCAAAGAGCCCTGAGTTATGCATTCCAGAGAGTCTTGTAGAGATCCTACTATGAGGCTTCTCAGAAGTGTACATGCACCTATGAACATTTCAGTTGAGGAAATGTGTCTTTTTGTGTGGACCAAGTCAAGAGCTTTATGTCCATGAGGCTCTCTTGTTGTTACTATTGATGCTGATCCCCTGAACATCTTATACAGCCCAAGTACATCTCATTTTCATATGCCTCTTACCACACTTGTAGAATAATACTCTGATTTCTCTAAATCCTTGCTAATGTCCCCATGTTATCTTTGAATTCCTTATTAATATGTGACTCCTACATGTGTTTTTGTATTTAATTTTTGTCAATGTATAGATTTACTGAGAACAGAGACCTTTTTTGTAGTCTTTTAAAATTATATCTTGAAATGTACCTGATATTCTCTCTCTCTATATATATTTTTTCTGTATATGCTGAATGATAAGATGCATAAATTAATGAATTATATCAAGAGGGATTCTTAGGGGGTGTGGCATTTGACCATAGAAAGTACACAGTTGGGTGTACAGGAATCTCAAGTAGAATAACCATTCACCCACTGTATGTTGAAAAATATATATAGAAATCTATATTGATAGATATTTAGCATTATTTACAAATGAGGTAAAGATAGCCTCTGTATATCAGTCCCTAGGATTTTTTTTACTTTTTTAATACCAGGATGATCCATATAATTTGAAATGACTGTCAGCATCAAACTCAAATTTGTATGCTTCCACTTCTTTTAATCGTTGCCTCATTTACCAGATTTTAGTTAATTATATCTTACCTGATTTATATACCTTGTAAAACTTTGCTCATTGTCTTAGCCATAGATAAGATAAACCCCAGGGCTCTAAATAGCCACAGCTAATGTTATGTCTTAAAGTTCTCTGATCTAGAGACTGTACCTTGCAACTAAAAGACATTATCTGGACATGTAAACCTCCTCTCTTACCCCCTTTTCTTCCAGGCATATCCTTGCTCACTTCACCTTCTGGAAGATGGCCCCTTCATGTGCATAGCCTCTGGGGACAGTTTTATGCTGTGAGAGACTTCCTCCACATGCAAACCTGTCAATGCGTACGAATAAATTTGCGTTTGCAACCTTGTTGTGGTTTTCTTTGATTAAAGCTGAAATCCGTCAAAACCCAGCAATCAGATGTATAATTTATGGAACTCCTTTTGAAATATATTGTCATATTTCATATATACTGAGGAATTACCAGGTTGGGATGAAGACATTTGCACAAGGTAGCACTCATCTAAAACAGTAATAATTTTGGCGGAAATTTGTGTACAGTGAACTGACTCAACACTTAAAATACCAGTTCCAAGGCCAGGGATTTAGCTCAGTGGAGCCGATGCCTACCTCACAAGCACAATGTCTTGAGTTTGATCCCTGGTACCAAAAAAAAAAAAAAGTTCCAGTTTATCAGGAATAGTTAAGCAAGGTACTAGTTTAGCAAATTAAACGGAGAATTAACCTTGATTCCTCTTTTTCAAATTCAGTGAACAATTCCTATTTTTTATTCCCCTAACCATTTTTTTTGTATTAAATTCTTTTATTGGTACATTGTAGGTATACAACACAATTACATTTCTCATTGGGAATTGTACCTTTACATAATG